TTGTATGCTCTCATTATCATTATACTCGTCAGCTAGAGGTGGGAAACACCTCAACTACTGTGTCGCAATAAAGCTTGTATGGGATGTTCTGCCGTTGGTGAATGTGAACCACCTTACACTTCCCCGAATTGAACTTGAGCAGTTTGTGGAGTGACCACCCATACGCTCTGTCAAGGTCTCGCTGAAGTGCATCGTGATCTGCTGGATCGGCGATTGTCCACCACATCTTAACATTGTCAGCAAACAGCAAGCAATCTAAAGTAAACAAACGCGTCGACTTGTTAATGAACACGAGAAACAGACGCGGTCCCAGAACGGATGTTTGTGGAACTCCACATTCGACATTAATCGGGTCGGACAGCGTACTTCGGACTCTGACGTGAAGTTGCGGATGCTGCAGGAAATTCCTGATTCACCCAAGGACTGGATCACCAACTCCAGATCTGTCGAGCCTGTGAAGTCGAATGCGGTTGAACAGTTGGTCGAAGGCTTTGGAGAAGTCGAGGTAAATGACGTCTGTCCCTCTGCCTGTGTCGGCCACTTCCGTCCAAATACTCCTTGCAATCAGTAGGTTGGTAGTGCATGAACGGTGCAGGCGGAAACCGTGTTTCTCGGGTGCTTTGATGTTGTGGCGTTCTACATGGTCTATTAAGCCCCGGCGATGATTGCCTCCATCATCTTGGAGAGCATAGGGAGTAGGACCACCGGGCGACAGTTGGCGGGTTCCTAGCGATTACCGCTTGTGAAAACTGGAGTGATTACCCCATGTTTCCACATGGTAGGCACAATTTGTTTATCCAAGCACGTTTGAAAGAAATGCGATAATGGCCAAGCCAGTCTTGTTGCTGCTGCATTCAGCGCGCTTGGGAGAAGGTAGTCGATGTTGGGAGAGCTGTACGTACATAGTGAGAGCAGTTTCTTTGACATAGGTGTGGCAGTAAAATCGATGTTAGTGAGTGTTGAAGTTGATGATAGTGAGGTGGCCATGTAACACTGACGGATGTCTCTTTAGAAAGTTGGGACATACTACATTCGTAGGGCATTGGCTGCCTCTACTGCACTCTGTGACACTCCGACTGGAGTGTCAAGTGGGAGATCCTGAGCTTCACTTTCCGGATGGTGTTAATATGCTTGTACAGGAACTTTTTCTTGTTGGCAAATTTAAGGACCAAATGTTGTTGATGAGTCAACTTGTTCTCACAGATTATCATGTTATAGTGGTTGCGCTGGGTCACGTAATCGCACCAGCTTCGTGAAAAGGACGAACTCTGTAAGCAAGCCACGCTGCATTAGTTATTGACGTGCGCTTGTGAGTTCTACTTTTGATGAAAGACACGGGGATTGGTGAAACGAATCCTCTTTGTTTCCGAAGCAGCTGCCATGAGAATGCTGAAGTGTCCAACAAACTGAATCCAGGCGCCACCAGGTGAGCCAAATTTCAAGAACTCCTAATCGGTCGTCTCAAATAGGTTGTTCAAGATGCAATGTGTGACAGTACGTGTTAGTTCTGTGTGTTCCTCAGGATATTCAGCGTAACACACATGGTGATGAAGTATGGTTACATGATCGCTTAACCCCAGTGGGGTGTCTATCAATGGTCTGCCGATCATGGCTTCCTCATTTGCAAGGGCAAGGTGAAGTACCGATGGTTTGTTATCAGTTCTGTACCTGGTAAGTTAGCTGATACGATTGTAGAGCGAGATATTGCGATTTGGTCTTGCAGTTCGGCCTTGTATGTTTCGCTGTAGAGATGCCGAGTTTTCCAAGTCATGCTCGTTGAAATCACGGAAATAAGAACGTGGCCGTAAGTTGGGTGCAAGCATTTCATCAGTGATGATATCAGGTGGGAATCCATCACTGGAGTGGATGATGGAGAGCGCTAGACGACTGCAAGGAAGCAGTTGTCATTGTGTTCGCGACGCAAACCACACCCTAGAAAACACAGTGATCCACGTCTCCAGATCATCCAGTAGTTCACAATATAAGTCACTGATAGTATAGCGCAGCATCACCTCCCCTTCTAGGACGATCGTGTCGGAACAAGGACATAACCTGAATCGCAATTTTGGCATCGGCAATCTCTGAGTGCAACCAAGTCTCGGTTATGGAGATGAGATCCCAAGCTTTTGTTGCCTGACGCAGCCAAAGCTCGGCAATTTTGCTGAGGTGGCCTTGTGCCTTGGCGTACATACTGGAAAACTTTTCGGTTCTGAGCAACTATCTGTGGCACTTGTGGCTAGGATGATAGGTTGTGCCGACCGTTGTATGGTCGGCCTCTAGCCGTTATTGTGGTATTATCAGCGAGTCGCTTGTAGTTGGGATTGGTGGCATTGTGCTTACCACATCTGACAAATCAGTTTGCACAATGCTTGGAGAGTGGCTACAGGATTGCGTAGGAAGATCCTCACTTCCTTTAGACTTGTTTCCGGTGTGAATTTCGGATAGGATCACCAATTCGCTTTCTGCTGTGGTGGTACTTTAGGTCGGACGACATTTTTCTCGCCGCTTTGAACCGTAACTTGGTTGGCAGTATATGCAGAAGTGAATGCCGCCGTTCCAGTAGCGTAAGTACCATCTGCTTAGTTTGTAATACAACCTTAATTATCCTTCGGCCTCACTCTTTATAACTTTTTATCTTAACGGCCTCGAGAGGGAAATAGCAGCAACGTCATTCAAGAGAATAGTCTCACTAATATAGTGCCACTGCTCCTGGTGGTGTGCCTTTACTTCGCATCCATCGTGCTGTTAAGATTGGAGGACGCCAAGTAAGAAAACGGTTCTGACTCCGGCTTTTAGCCGGAACTCTTCTAAGCTCTACCTCGCTCTCTTACGCTCACTCCAGTGAACGTCTGGAAAGAGGCGGACCAGATCGATTTCGTTCTGGAAACGAGCAGATGAAGGCAAGGCTGCTTCCACTTCAACAACAGAGTTTAGCACAACCCGAAGAAGCCTGGCTTCGCCCTAATGCTTGGCATTCGGGTGGCGGGTGATCATCATCAAGTTGGAGGGTTAAGTCAGAATACCGAGGAGGTTACGTATGGCATTTCATTGGTTCATGTCATCCACCTGGTTCCTCTGCAAGGAATTGCTTGTTGACTCAGGAACTTTGGTACATATTATAGTTGGGGCATCCAGTTGTTTCTACGTGTGTTTCTTGGGAGTGTGGACCGTGGTTAGGAGACCCAGCGATTTGCTGTTCATCCGTGCAGCGTTGCTTTTCACACTAGTTGTGGGTGTGGTTATAGAAACAGCAGCGTCTGATTTTGGAGTGCACTTTGATGCAATAATGGCCCAGCTGCCACTGGAATTTGCATGTTTCCTGAATTTCGGCGATATCTGGTGGGATGAGGTGGGTTGGGGGAAATTGTTGTATATGAGCTGGGGGTTTGGTGTTCGGGAAAGCTTGGGCGATTTGGATTATTGGCAGTGTTTGTAGGTGCAAATTTTTTACTGTAGCATTCGGCGTTGTTGAGTTGGCTTGCAGTGGGATTAGGCGGAGGGACCTGTGTCAGACATTCTGCTATGCTTGTTCCTACCGAAGCTATTTTGGTGCCCAGCATCGTCTCAACTACGTCTGTAAGGCTTGCCTACTTCTGGGACATTGCAACTATGACTGTAAGCAGTGGGACAGTATTACACTAGGCACCGATGCCAAAATGAGTCAGGCCTGCTGCTGAGCAGCCTGCACTCGCTTGGTGTGATTTTCCTGCATTTCGCATGGAAATAGGTTTGGTAATTCGACAGAAATTTTCTATTTTGACTGTCTTATAGCATGTCCCACAAGCGCCTTTAGGCCCCGCGGCTCCTTTCGTGGCACTCGTCAGGGCACGTGAACGTGTGATGGTTAATCCTACCCAGGACCCTGAAATGATGCGGCGTCAAGGTCAGCCCACCGAGGCAGTGGTCGTCTCCATGTCTCACTTTTGCGGCCGCGCGCATATAGTGGGATTCCGCGGCGCGCACACTAGCACACGGAAGCGCAGCGTGTATTGATGGGGTCGTGTTACATGACAACACATGCGGGACGTTGGCGAAGTACCCTAAGTGCCTGTGTCGCGATGTTTATTAGGTGAATGACGCAAAATGTCTCGTAACTTTGTTATGCTGCTGCCTGTAGCTATGGTTGCAGGGTTATTTGAGAGTCCTCAGCTTCTTCTACCGAATGAGATCGAAAAATTATCCTCGGAAAGCTCAGGAGTGATGTGATTTCACAAGCAGCACTGGAGGAAGAATTTACCGAAACTGATAACAGGAGTAACAGTATGATCCACACAAGTTAGATCCAAGAGATGGAAAGCACTGAGTAGCGCTTGTCGAACTGGTTCGAACGAGCACACACAAGGACGTGTGTGAAGAACTGGAGTAACTACAATCAGTATAGCAAGAGCCGAGATAAAGTACGGCAGTTAGCGTGTGCAATAATTTATTACGGGTAAAAAAGCGTGTGCTTGACAAGTCCCGTAGGATGATGGGAGGAGAAATTAAAATTAAGTTTTAACGAATAAGTAAAGTGTCCTTTAATCGTCTACCGATTTAGATGCAGTACTGCATAACGATAGTTTGAAATGTGAATTGGATGTGCACACACTACATAGTATGATGAGCTATTATAGCTCAGTATGGGCGTGAGAAATAAACAAGCAAACGCCAACGCTCACTCGCGTGTTGCTTCATTTGACAGATGCGTTATGTTAAACCAGTTTAGATACACCCGTGCTACTCACAAGGACCTACTGCATATATCCTCATCACCAGGTTGCGGAGAGGGCCGTTAGGCACACGCTGTGATTCGGGTTCTTTCGTTCTCCGAATGAAACAAACTACATCAAATAATGCAAGTTGCCTAGCGTGTCATCAATGCTTTTTTTGAATAGCGTTAATGTAGGAGCAATGATGACCTGAGTCGGAAGGGAGTTCCAGGCATGAGACACATGGAGGGAGAAAAGGTTTCTCCAACAGTTAAGTCGACTGTAGTGCGTAGCCAATATAAACTGATGGAGTTTCAGGTTGGAATTTCGGATCACCTGCAACAAATTGCAGCATGGGTGAGTGGGGTTCGTCAGTATTAAGTAAACCATGATGAGGTCTCCTCGCTGACGTCGATATTTACCACTGTACAATCTCAGGGACTGCAGTCTGCGTTGGTAGGAGAGATGGAACAACCCTCTAACGAGTTTGATTGCTCTACGTTGCGGAGCTTTAAGTGTATTGATGTCGCGCTTGCGCCAACGGCGCCAGACCTGGATCGCAAATTCCACGTGAGGCCTGACTTGGGCGTTCAGCATTTACGGAAATGTTGACGGTTCGAAATTTCCGAAACCCATCCGTAAGGATTCAAGATGTTGACTGGCTCTTTGCGATGCCTTTTCAGCCTGTTTCGAGCCGCTTCCTGCACAACCACCTCAAGGTCGCTTTCCTGGGAAGCCACGTTGCGACTGTTGATCCCCAAGTCCATATTTGTAGATAAGTTGATGGCGTATGCTTACGACTTTGCACTTGGTCACGTTGAATTGGAGACGGTTGTCGGTTGATCAAGCATATGCTCTGTCGAGGTCGCTGTGCATTGCCATGTGATCATCTGCTGTCTTGAAATCATGTCAAATTTTGACCTCATCTGCAAATAGTAAGAAATTCGACTGCAGTACACTAGTGAGATCGTTAATGAATGTGATAAGTAAACATGGCACGTCACATTGGACATCAGTTGGGTCGGAAATGGTGCTTCGGACTCTCACATTCAGCTGACGTTAGGTGCACTACCCCAATATGTGAGGCATCGCACGCGGCTTGAAGTTTATGCCCTGCGGTGCACTCGGACTTGGATCCATGGGATCAGTTGCAGTCGTAAATTTTTCCAAAATTGCAATCACGTCTTATAGATATACGGCGAGTATCCCGTTTTGACCCACGGATATCTTGGAATAAAGCGTACAGTTATGTTGGAGAAAGGTAGAAGGTACCTACAGTTCACCCGTAGGCAGCACAGACGCTTCGCTGAAGCGCACCCACCACCAGTGGCACGTGGGCTAAAAATACTGCGACGGCTACCCTGTCCCGCTCCGACGGATTACTAAGCAGAGTTGTCATCCTTAGGGTTACGGGTATTAGACTGAAACCGTTAGGTGGACACATCATGGAAATACATTTTTAAAAAGACCTGATTGGTCACCGATTTTTTCCCTTCTACTATCGCTGTTATTGACATTGCTTTAACCATATCATTCTGCTAATTTTATTGGCTGCTTGTGGTCATTGTTTCTGCCCTGAAACCGCCGTCTCACTTGGCTGCTAACGCTGCCTCTACGTTCGCCTCGTGTCCACTATTGGTATATTTAGTGGTCAATTTTCGCTAGCTTCATTCTGCTTACATGTTTTCAACAAGATAGTTGGCTTGATTGTAGCTTCCCTACACCTTATTCTCAAAACTATTTAAGCAGACATGGTGCAATGCGTACAATTCTTTCCCGGCTGGTCTTGGGAGTTTTCGTCGGTTGTAGGTTGAAGGGGTCGGCCGCGACATAACCTTTTCTGGCGACGGACATTTTGGCAAACATGTCAATTGCTTCCGAGCAAATGCAAGTCATGCTTCAACAGCGGCACTTGCAATTTGAGAAATTTTAGCGGCAATGGACTGAATTGCTTTCACAGCAGTTGAAAATTCAAACCGAAACTACGACGCGAGTTGCACGGCCATCCGTAAACGCCCTTGCAGCCTCAAGCAGAGTCCGTCTTTTATGGATTGTGCAGAGTAACATTTGAATCAAGGTTTCTAAAGTATGAGGATTTTTTGGAGTGGAAGTTACGAACCAAGATGATGCCTGGAAAACTCCGTTGTTGTTGGGAAAACTTGTTGCAGTTGAGCATGGACGATATTATAGAAGAAAAATGGAGCTATATTTAACGAGGGAAATAATATCGGAACGCCTTGCGCGGCTATGGTACAAAGTGCAACAATGACAACAACAACTACCACCATTACTACTATTACTACTACTACTACTACTACTACTAGTAGTAGTAGTAGTAGTAGTAGCAGTGGTAGTAGTAGTAGTAGTAGTAGTAGTAGTAGTAGTAGTAGTAGTAGTAGTAATAGCAGTATACGTGATTTCGTGCCGCTGGCCCGGATTCCCTCTCATCTGCACTATTTAAGGATGGAGATGAAGTTCTCTGCAAAGCACTGACCTCCCTATTCGGGCGTATCTGGAAGGAAGAGTGTATCTGCTAATTGGAGCGAATCGATTATAGTGGCAATATCCAAGAAGGGCAGTCGTACAGACTGTTCTAACCGCAGGGGTATTAGCTTAATTCCAATTGTGACAAAATTATTGGCCTCGATTATGGTTCGTCGCCTCACTGCGGAACGGGAAGCTCAGATTAGTAAAAGAGCAGGCAGGTTTCCGCCTAAGACGTGGCTGTATAGTCCATATATTCATTTTGCGGCAGGTGCTAGGGCAGCGCCACGCAGACCGACAATAGCTGTGTTCCTCGATTTCAAGAGTGCGTTCAATTCAGTCGATCGATCGATTCTGTTCGAAATACTTGCGCGGAAAGGTGTTCCCACGAAATATGTGAACATCCTTCGTGCTCTATACTCGAACACTACAGGCCGCGTCAGGGTCTACGGTGTCCTATCGGGTAGCTTTCCGACCACAAGTGGCGTTCCTCAGGGTTGTCCAATTTCTCCATTTCTGTTCAATTTCGTTGTGGATTCTATCATGGAGTATTCCCTTGCGGAATATCACGATGTAGGCTTTGAAGTGCTGCTGATGAAAGATTAGTTGATCTAGATTATGCGGACGTTATCGTCTTGCTTTTCGACGATGTTGGGGCGGCACGATCAACTCTGAATAGCCTGTCCAGAGTGATCCCATTATTTGTTATGCACTTCGCACCTTCAAAGTGCAAAGTGTCGCTGCAGGACCACCAGCTACTTGATGACCCCTTGACGCTTGCTAACGTGGAACTCGAGGTGGTTGATCAATTCGCCTATCTTGGCAGCCGCATTAGCAATGATAGGCGCATAGAAACTGACGTCAGCTCACGCATTGCGAAAACCAGAGCTACCTCCTTGAACCTGCGGCATGTTGGCGACAGAAGGTAGTTTCCCTCCGTCTGAAAGGCCGGGTATACAAGGCCACAGTGAGGGCCGTTCTGCTCTATGGTAGTGAGACTTGGCCCCTTCGGTCTGAAGATCTGAGACTCCCCTAAGTCTTTGATCATCGTTGTCTGCGAAGCACTGTTGGTGTCGGATGGCACCAGCGTGTCCGCAACGATGATGTGCGTAGGCGAGTACTAGGTGGTGATAATCATGCTAGCTCCCTAGAACAACAGATAGCACTGAAAAAGTTGCGTTGGCTCGGGCACGTGCTGCGTATGCCTGGTCACCTCTTACCTGAAAAAAAATGAAATGTGTCAGCTTATACGCCGTAACGGCGCTTCGCTGCCGCGCGACCACCACCAGTCGCGCGCGGGCTGAGGGCCTTGTTTAGTCTGCCAGGTGTAGGGTGGCACAAGGCTCGAGGTGGACAGAAGTTGACTTAGCAGCGGGAAATGAAGTCACTGACGACCGAACTGGTTGCCATCGGTCTGTCTCGCCTTCCGGGCTGGAGTCCACCTGATACGCCTTGTGCTTGGCTCGAGACTTTACAGGACATGGCTCGCAGCCGATACCAGTGGCGCGTCTGCTGTCGTCTCCTAATCAGATTACCTGTTTAAAGTGTGTTTGGTGCTGAGTTATCTGCGGGGTAATGGCTGATTATGACGCGTGGCAGTGAAAGCCGCAAGGAAGCTGTCTCGCCGATGCCGACTTATCTTTGCACGATAGCCAGCTCTTTGTGACGGTATGTTGTTTACACAAGGTGTAGACGCCGTGACTCTGAATGTTTGCTTAGGACACTAAGTTTTTCAGATAAGTCCCCCTTCTCTCCCTCTTACTCTTCTTTATTTCATAGGTCCTCATGGTTGTATGGCAGCGAAGCATCAGTTCAAATGGCTGATATACTGCTATTGATGATGATGATGATGATGATGATGACGATGTTGATGATGATCCTCACCAAGGGTCAGCGCAGGAGGAATGCTTTGCATTTCGATGGTGCAAAGCAAAACCCGAACCGGCTGAAAGCCAGTGCTAATCTGTCCAGCGCGGCTTGGCACGTCTGGAAGCTGTCACAAACTATTGCAATGTCGTCTGCATACTCCAAGTCAAGAAGTCGTTCTCATGGGAGTAGCTCCACACCTTCCAAGTCATGTCCTGTAAATGAAATCTCCATGACTTCGTCAATAGGGAAGTTGAAGAGGAAAGGTGACTGCGCGGATCCTTGTCTTACACTGCTTGAGATATTGAAGGGCGACGACAGCTTGCCGTAAGCCTTCACTCTGCCCTTGCTACGCGTGTATAATACTCGGATAATATTTACATATTTCTCGAGCACACCTTTCCTGAGTAGACAATTCCAAATGGCACGTCGATCAACCGAATCGAAGCACCTTTGATGTCGAGGAACACGACAACGTTGGGCCGCCAATGTGTGTGACGGTGTTCCAACAAGTTAGGCAAGGTGAAGATGTGGTCGATGCAGCCACGATCCCGACGAAACCCGCCTTGCTCCTCACGAATCTGGCTTTCACGAGCGCCACTCATTCTGTGAAGAATCATATAGGCGAGTAACTTGGAGGCGATGGAGATCAGGCTGATTCCCCTATGGTTGCAGCATTCCGAACGTGAGCCTCCTTTGAAGATGGGAGCAATAACGGAGCGGCTCCAGTCGTTTGGGACAGTCTCCTGCTCCCAGTTTCACTAGTAATTTATGTAAAGCATCAAGAAGGGTAGAGCCCCCGAATTTCAAGAGGGCTGAATGAAGATCATCTGGTCCCGCGGCTTTGTTCCACTTCAACAGTCCGATCTCACGTTCGACTTCTGGGCGAGAGGGTGGGTCCAAAGGCACAGCCCACGCAGAAGGGCCATCACTGGCCGGCGAAGAATTGAACAATTCTAGCCTATTAA